TAAAATAAAATAAAACAAACAAACAAACAAACAAACAAACATTGTTTTAAATTGTTTGGTTATCTGGCGATGGGTTTGGCTGGTTGTGCAGTTTTGATTGATTGATTTTCTTGTTGGATGCTATGTGTCTACGCACTGTGTTGTTTTCTACTCTTTTGTGTGCTTACGCTCTGAACGGCGCAGAGAGTGCTTTGCACGATGGGTCAGTATCTAAGTGCACAAACAAACAAACAAACAAACATTGTTTTAAATTGTTTGGTTATCTGGCGATGGGTTTGGCTGGTTGTGCAGTTTTGATTGATTGATTTTCTTGTTGGATGCTATGTGTCTACGCACTGTGTTGTTTTCTACTCTTTTGTGTGCTTACGCTCTGAACGGCGCAGAGAGTGCTTTGCACGATGGGTCAGTATCTAAGTGCAAATAATGAATAAATAAATAAATAAAAACTTGAGTTGCAAACCAGACTTTTGCTGGAAGTGCCTGCCAATTTTGGGCCCATCTTTAGTATTCCATCTTCTGTGTGATACAATTTTCAAAGAGGAAGCTGTGCAAGTCTATTTGGGGATAGCAGAATCCATGGCGTCAATATTTTAAAGACAAACAGAAGCCAGAATTGGCTATTGGCTCAGAGGCATTTAGCATAACCCAATCACACATACAAGTGACAAAAATGTTATGGCACTTTAAAGACTTACTGCTATGTTTTAATGTGACCTTAAATTACTTCAAAATTTGGCATAAACCAGTTACCTATCTATTGTCAGAACATTGTTATTATGCAAGAAATTATCTGGAAGTTCATTACCCGTGTTAATAATTCTAAGGTTTTCTGCATCTCACTTCAGATCGATGGCCAGAACCCTACTGGGATTGATCAATGCATGAATTTTGTTTCAGCACCTGCCAGCCAGGTGCTATCTAGAAAACCAGAGTGGAACATGAAATCAGAGCTGGTGCAGAGATATAGAACATAAAACCATATTTTTTTTTTAACCTGAAACACCAGAAATCTTCCAGCCACCATGGTGAACCGTTCGCCAGGCTTGTGTTCTGACACCTCTTGGTCAGCTCAGAAGGGCCGACACTGGCTCCCCTTCAAACCTCAAACTGTCCACATACAGAGGCACCAGTTGGCCTCTCGCGTTGCTGGATATCCATCGTTTCAATGAGCATCCCCCCCAAAAAACAGAGCAGACAACTCTCCTTAGCACTCAGTGTTTTTCAGTGTTTTATTTCTGGTGCTCTTGGCAAACGCAAACCACTGTAAACAGATATTTTGAAAAATCCACACCCAAACCAATATTCCCTGTATTAAAAGGATTATGCTGGAAGCAGCCACATTTTTCTGCAGTTTCACAGGTTTGATTTGCTTGGGGCTTTCCCCCCCCTAATACTGAGCCACGTAACATCTCAAAAGGGTTTTACGTCCTTGGCCCCTCCCTGTATAAAAAAATGAAGCAGCAATTCTTTCTCCAGTAATAAGTACAGAAAGTTCCTCTAAATCAAATTTCCACTAATTCACTTACTCATTCACACTTTTACTCTCCCTCTCTCTCTCATTCTCTCTCTTACAAACGATGGTTTTCACCAATGCACTGAGCAGCCGAGGAAACATGAAATTTAATTCACAAAAAGGGAGTTCCGATGACTCCTCTCCCACAACCTCATTTGGTACAGGAAGAAACAGAAAAGTGGGCTGTGATGAGTTACTGCTCAATAATTCGGTTGAGATTCATTGGCATTTAATTCGTGGAAGGCGATTAACGTTTTTCTTGCCAGTGCGAGATGCTGGGAGAGTTGTGAAACCATTTGTTAGGCAGGAGCTCTGAAGGTCAACAAAGCTAAGGTGTTGGTGTTGGTAAGGATGGAACTGGAAAAACTCCCAAAGATGCAATAAGGAAAACTCCCAAAATGTGCCAACAAGGAGCTTGCCAGGATTTGCTACAGCAAATAAAATCCCCACCAGGCAAGACAAGAACAATGTTATCATCTCAGTTGTCTCAGAGGCAGTACTTTTCAAGGACATCAAAGGTAACTGAGCATCTGTAGGATGGAAGTATGCGTTGAATGCACGCATGTATGTATGTGTGTTTGCCAAAAGGAGGACAGGAAGAGAAAAATGCACTCAATTAAGGCAATGATAATCAAATAGTCAGTAAGCCGTCCTCCCCATAATATAGCTTTAAAATCTCAACACACACGCCCGTAAGTATAAGCACCTCAAGCAGTTACTACAGCTCTGCATCCTATAAGATGCAGAGAGACCCTTCTGGAGGGTCATCTCAATCCAGTAAACATGAACAGGAAAATCCACGTAGCTTTTTTTCTTTCTTTTATAACTGGAGCTGTCTCCAAAATACTACCTAAAAGAGTCCAACTGCTTTCTACAGAACTCACTTTCATGCGGAATCACAGCTTTCTAATCTCAATTTGCAAGATGTGGGAGGGGTGGAATTCAAACTCATTTCGGGGTACCGAGAGAAATTATCCACATGATTTTTTTGGTTGAAGAATAAGGCAGCGAGCTTTTGAGCTGCACAAAACTCTGTGCTACGCAAGAAGAATCCTGTGATCCTTAAAAGCTTGCTACTCTAGCAGGATACACAACATTCCTAATTATGTATCCTACCCCAATTAACATAATTGTTTTCTCCAAGCTCCTGAGATCCTGAAATCTTTGCTCAGTTTTGCCTTCTTGTAACTAAATCAAGATGAAAATAAATTATAGATGTATTCTAAACACATGATAAGGAAACAAACTTTATAACTTAGGTAAGGTCTCTCCCGCCAATGAACAAAGAAACCCAGGTTCTACCTATACAAATAAGGCAAAGTTGCATGAGGATTACCTAAGTAGGGAGAGCAGAACTGGATTCATGTTTCAGACTAAACAGTCACAAAGCGTCCAGGACAGGAAGAAGGAAACGAATTAAGCTGAAGCAGGAGTTCAAGCATGGTCCAAAATTCTGAGTTGATGATACGGAAACGGGCCCACAAATTTCACAGTCAAAGGAAAAAGGCACAAAAGCAAACTTCAGTTCCCAAAAAGTGCCAGAAAATGCACACTCAAAGATACATGGTATTATTATTATTATTATTTTTAAAATGGTGACCATCAAGTTCTAAAGCTTGGAAACATTGCTACAACTTCCAGAATCTCCTGGCCACCATGGACTGTAGCTATACTGACGGGGGGATGCTAGCAAATTCTGGGCCGTGTACCTTTTTTAAAAAAACTTTCCGAGTGCAGCCAAGATTCTCTCGAAAGCAGGTGTGGGCAAGCCAGCGGCCCTTCCAGATGTTCCGAGTCTGTACCATCCACCAGCCTGAGTTAGCCCGGCCAGGAGAGAGGGCTGTGAAGAGGACCAGTCCTGCCGTGTTGGGAGGGTTGCTCAACCCTACGTTCCAATCTTCATGTATGATGCCAAAGGAAAGTCTGGTGGGCAAGTTCCCTGTGGGATCAACAGGAATCCTGCCTCCCGTGGAACGTAGCCATCAAGGCTGCATGCCGAAAGGTCATCCTTTCAGCAATCCCTGCAGCTTTTAAAGCAGGACCCAAACTATGGAAATCCACATTTCCTTTCAAATGAGTCCGCCTGCTTTATTTCTATCCCTTCCCCAGCCACCCTGCACCACCGCCCCCCCCTTGGATAAAGGGGGAGCCTATGAAAGACAGTGACCTGTGCAACATCGCGACTGAAAGTAAACTCAAACCAAGTCCATGATTGGAAGAAGAGGCGGGGGGCGAGGACACACACACACCCGGCCCTGGCATGTCGCTATCGTATGGCATCCAGGTAATGCACGTCGGGGTACAGAGTGTTGAGCAGGATGGCCAGGAGGTGATTCCCATCATGAAGAGAATGGCAAGAGTCCTTGATGAACTGGGAAGCCTGGCAGATCTGCTCCTGGAATTCGGCGTACTGTTTGTTCAAAGCAAGGGAGTCCAGAGCCTGGAGAGCCTGCAAAGAGAGAGGAAGGGAAGAGGACGCTCTGCCTCGTGAACTGAAGCACAGCATCCGTGTCTCAGGGGCTCCTATATAACATCCGTGTCAGGTTAGGAACCAGCCTTCTGCCTGTTCTACCAGGTGGAGCATTCCCCTGCTATTCAGTTCCCCCAAACCTCCACGAAAGTCAGATTTGACTTGCTCCTTGACCACTAATTCCACATCTGCTTTTCTCTTTTTCTTTTAAGGCACCCGGCAGGTTTTCCTTGCCCAAAATCTTGAGGCTGCTCTGACTCGGTGGCTACAGGTGATAACGTCTACAAGAGAAACAAGGGGGAGAAGCTCTTACCTGTTGAGCTTTGGCGGAGACCTGGAGTTCCACACCAGGCCTCAACCGGATCCGATTCTCCACAGGAATCTGTACCAAAAGAAAGGCCGACATACTCCGGGCGACCACCCGGAACCTAATGTGGGAAAACAGAAAGGGAAGCATCGGTATCGAACGGTCGTGCTTATCAACCTCCATCACAAGGGAAAACAGAAAATGTGTCCCTCACCGATACTGGGCTCCTCACAAACTCTACCATTGCACCACATTACACTGAATCGATTCCCTAATTTTTCAGCTACAGAATACAGGGACGATCTACGGCTGGTCGTTTGCTCTCAATCTCACCTATAGGATTAGAGTTAAAGGGAGGAAGGAGGGACCTCCTCTTCTCTAGTCTCCTTAGAGGAAGGATAGCATTTAAAAAAATACAAAGACTTCAATAATTGGAGTTTAACTCCGGCATATTCCATCTTGGGTGACAAGTAAAACGAAAGAAAAGAAAGATACAGCGAATGGGAGGCTTGGCTTCGTGAGACCAACGGGTGACTCTCTAGCTTTTATGAGGGCTAAGAAGGCCGATTTCTAACGTTGTGGGTGCCTTTGACAGCCAGTGGGGCAAAGAGGACAGGACGTTGGACTAGGAGATTTTTGGCTTCCGAGTTCCTGCTTAGCTGAGGGAAGTCACCGTGTGGGGGAGGACGGCAGCAGCTAAAACATCCCAGGAATCTCTCACATGCTTTGAAGACTCTGTTGAAGTGGCCACAGATCAAAAGCCACTTGCCAGAACTCACCAACCGATGCGTTTAGATTGGAACTTGGAAAATTTAGGGTTTTCGACTCCCGGGATTTTACAGCCAGTATGGAAACAGGCCATGTTAGCTAAGGCATTCAAGCCGCTATCATTCAAAAAAAGGAGTTTTTCCCCAAGCTCCGGTTGAGATTACAGGACTACTCTATGCTCTCCCGTGAGCCTGAGGTCCTCTGTTTTTTTTTTAAGCGCTGTTATCTCTAACCAGAGCGGCTTCTCCTTCCTGTGGGCTCCTCCTACCTGTTTGACAAAGGAGATCGGCGGCCCAGACCCAGAGCACCGAGGATCCCGGACGAGATCTTCTCTTCGGCCAGCACGCTCTGCCGGCCTTGCAGGGCGGTCAAGATCCGGATGACCGACTCCAGCAGGATGGCGTCGTCCTGCTCCACCTGGAGGAGGCACAGCTGGAGCACTTTGTGCCACCAAAGGAACAGCTTGGCCTCATCCTTGGCAGAGCTGCAACATGAAAGGGAGTGGGTTAGGGTTGGTTGGTTGGTAGGGCACAGGAAGCAACATACCAAAGCCAGCCACAGTTAGAAACGGGTCGTCTCTCGGACGTGGCTCCTTGTACACCAGTATTGGAGCCTCAGCTTCAGGATCTGTACTTCCAGCGAGCACTCAAGGTTGATTTCCTTCAAAATGGAAAGATTACCCACCACATTTGACAGTGATATATATTTCCTTCTCAGGAAAATTGTACACCAACCCACATCAACACACTAGGATTTAAAAAACCCACTTCTGTATTTTCCTTCTCCCTCCTCTTCCCTGTTTTCCTTTTGTGCCGTTTCTTTTTAGATGATAAGCTGGAGGGCAAAGGCTGGGTTTCCTTGCCTTGAGAGATATGCAAGCTGCCCAGAGAGCCAGCTGAAGGGCAGTGGAAGCATCAGACGAGGAAATACCTCATATAAGCCTGAAGCTGCCAAAAACACAAGAGGTCCTTCCATGGTCTATGCTTAGCCGGAGGCCGCAGGCTCTCCGTCGCCTCCTCTCCATGTCAGTGCATGGGCCTCTTGCTGCTTTCCCCAACCCAGCAGGTGTTAAGAAGGCTGAGCTGCAACTCAGCCCACCTTCTTTGTCAAGGGGGGGGGGGGAAGAAAAAAAAGATGCTCTCTCTTCAGAAGGCCTCCAGGACAGCTGTACATCTTTGCAAACAAATTGAACCTGGTGGAGAAATTTGGAAAACTGAGTCCATTTGATCCTCCAATGTAATAACTAGATCATCTGCAAAAACTTGGAGCTTAAAAGCTTTTTTTACTTTCAGTCCTTTTATTTCCTTTTTATCTCTAATTTGTTCAGTTAATATTTCTAGAGCAAGCATGAATAGTAATGGAGAGAGAGGGCACCCCTGTCTTGTACCTTCCTGTGTTTGTATTTCTTTCGTCAACTCTCCATTGATTCTAACTTTTGCCTTTTGCTGGGTATAGATGGCTTTAATTAATTTCAAAAATCTTTCTCCAACTTGTAGCACTTCCAACTGGTGTAGCATAAAATTCCAATTTAGATAATCAAAAGCTTTCTCTGCATCCAAGAATATCACAGCCATTTGCTTTTCCGGGTGAGCTTCATAGTTTTCCAAAGTGTTTGGAAATTTGGAAAATTTACTTTTCATTTAAAAAAAAAAAAAAAAGATAGCAAGTACATCCTGCAGCAGGTCCAGGATGGTGTGTGTGTGTGTGTGTGTGAGTGTGTGATTGTGTGAGTGTGCACAGGTGCAAAACAGGACCCTGGGCCCACCAAAGTTGACTACTCTGACGTAAAGGCTGTGTTTCAAAGCCATACACACATGAAGAGGGTAGGGACGGATGATCCAACGTGCTTTAACTACCAGCGCTTGAAAGAGAACGGTGCCCATGATCTGTGCCCTTGCAATCTTCCGCTTTCAATGGAAACCACAAGGCTGTACAATATGGGGAAGATGTTTCCTGGGGGACTATTTTTAAAGCCTTCCTAAAAATACCCTGTCTTGGTCAAAGCCACAACATCCAGGGGCCAGAGGAAGAAAGCCACATGAGATGGGCCTGCCTTACTCATTGTTGACTGCAAGAGAAGGACCTTGAAAAACACATGCAGGTTTTAGATGTTGCATGCCTTTTTTGTAAGCATGCAACATCTTTTTCTGCTTAGAACTCTGGAAGTAACTTTGAGAATGAAAGCTTCTATGGTTAAATGCTCAGCCTTTCAAGTTCTTGGAACTAGCCACATGCTATTTATTAAAGATTTTTTGTTGTTGTCTAGTCAGTAAGTCGTGTCCGACTGTTCGTGACCCCACGGACCAGAGCACGCCAGGCCCTCCTGGCTTCCACTGCCTCCCAGAGTTGGGTCAAATTCATGTTGGTCGCTTCAGTGACACTGTCCAACCATCTCGTCCTCTGTCATCCCCTTCTCCTCTTGCCTTCACACCTTCCCAACATCAGGGCCTTTTCCAGGGAGTCTTCTCTTCTCATGAGATGCCCAAAGTATTGGAGCCTCATCTTCAGGATCTGTCCTTCCAGTGAGCACTCAGGGTTGATTTCCTTCAAAATTGAGAGATTATCCACCATATTTGACTGTGATATATATTTCTATTTTCAGCCCATGTAACAAGGCCTATATGGGACAAGGCCCCCAGAGAGAGGACAAATGAATTTCATTCGATATATTTTGCTGAGTTACAGTTGCCATGTAAAGGACACTGACAGGGGGAAAAATGACGCGTTGAAATGTGGTGCTGGAGGGGAACTCTGTGAATACTTTGGACTGCCAGAAACACTGACAAATGGGTCCTAGATAAAATCAAGCCTGAATTCTCTCTAGGAGCAAAAATTGAGGTTGTTATAATCTGGGCACATAATGAGAAGGCAGAATTTTCTGGAAAAGATAATAATGCTGGGCAAGGTTTGAACGTTATCACATGCCTCAACTCATGCAAATAGGCCCGTGTTTTAAAAAGTAGGAGCCACAGTGGTGGAGGGGAGAAACTACGGACTCCGGGGTTGAAGGACTCCAGACTGATTCACATTTCCCTTTGTGTTGTGTGATTAACCCGGGGGG